CTGGGACCGGCCCCGGATGACCCGACCGCCTATCGGGAATGGCGCAAGGTCTACCACTTCGAAGTGTACTGGCCCAGGGAAAGCACTGGCGGCACAACTATAGGCACGGCTCTGCAACCGGTATCCCACGCCACTTTCTACACTTGGTATTACAGGGACTGGGTCACCAGAGGGTACCAACGCCTGGGTCGTCCACATCCCAGCATAGCGAGGCCAGTTTTCGCTTCGGGTGCGCCGGACCTCATGTATGCTGGAATGACCTCCTCTTCGGCATCATCCAATTCACATGATAGCTGATGCCCGTCCTCGCCTCCCTGGAGAGTCTGACGGTGATGTTGGCGCCGCACAGTGCTACAAAAGTGGTCTTTTGCGTTTTGATTGTTGATTTGCTTTCACTCGTTGTTGTCTGCAGCCGTACACCTATCAACTTGACTTTCCGTGGTTGCGTTGTCATGCCGTGGCTGGAATGGTGCCCGGACCCTCAACAACCTGATGCCCAGTGGGTCAAGATCTTTCATCCGGGACCATGGACGCCTCAGGAAGAACAGGATGCTCCACCTCCTCCGCATACTTTCAGAGAATGGCGGGAGTTCTATGCTCCCAACCAGGACTCAGTTGAAGGGCAAGTCCAAGTCACTACGTGGTACAAGCGAGACTGGGCCACGGAGGGCTATCGGAGAATCGCTGCTCCTCACGCCGGTCATGAATTTGATTCCATGTATCCCTCCGATCACCATAACGTGGCCACGCAGTCTGCGTCGTTGAGTATGTCGCCGGAGCTGTTAGACGCGATTCTCAGGTCCTCGGATGCGGCTGATTTCTCCACTGAGGAACTGATTCGTCTCCAGGAGGGGATTTCTCAACAACTGACGGCCCGCGCACGTCTGACCTCTCCTCCTCATCAACCAGTACGTGCATCGCGTGGCAACACACCATCGGAGACGATTGGGGTCTCCGACCCCTACACGCCCGTGAATCCGTCCGGTAGCGGCCAAGACAAGATGAGGCCCGTCTTCGAGCTCACTGAAGACTAGCCTTGCATGAGCAGCGCAGCGTACAAAATAAGGGTGACCTCTACACTTGCATGATCTTGCTTTGCTGTTGTTTGAACATGGTTGTGCATGGTGCTTGTCCACCTACTAGCTGGATCGGAGCCCGCGACCATCCTTGCCTCTTGCCTCGACATGGACATCGATGATTCCAAGCAGTATCCATGGCTCGAATATTCGGTCTGGCATGATCAGGAGTGGGTGCGGATTTACACTCCGGGACAACCTCAACGATGGCACCGTGGTGACGCCGTACCTGATCTACCTGAAAACTCTTTTCGTGAATGGCAGCGGGTGACGGATCCCGAAGCGCCAGTCCAGGCATGGGACATCCGTGACTGGCAACACCAAGGGTACCAGCGCATTCTGTCTCGGATTGAGTCCTTCGCAACTCACTGTTCACATGATCAGACTCTTGGTCAAGGTCGGAACTCCGATGCCGTTCAAGTTGAGGAGACCTTCACCTATGCCACTCCGTTTTCTCATGGTGATCGCCCGGCTGCTTCGCAGATCGCTTCAGTCCTCTATGGCGACACTCGTAATGCTCAACGTTGTGAACTTTCGTTCCCGTCTTCTGAGCGGTTTAGGGCAGTGTCTCGCTCCCCTCGCCGTGGTGGATATTTTGGCCAACGATAGTGATTTGAGTTTGAGCATGTGATCTTCCTGCAGGAGAAAAGAGAAACCTCGCCCCTCGTAGAGGGGCGTGTGTGTGCGGAGTGACAGAATGCCCTGTCACCACCCTTTCGGTTTCGCAGCAGGGGCGTGCAGCACCTTTGGCATACTGCACGCAATGAAGCTGTTGCCAAAGGTGGGAAGGGTGTCCAGACGTGGACACCTGTACCTGCTTCAGTGATTCTGAAAGTCCTTTTGGCCCCTTGGTTGCGGCGCTGTTTGTGCTTCTTGTTCTTTCTCGTAACGTGTTCGACACTAGAGGGAAGCCAAGTGCATCGAGAGCCGAAACTCATCATACTCGAGACTTGTCGGTTGTACTCGAGACTCATCAGTTGTACTCGAAGATTAGCATCTCTCCATCTGGAGTTCAAGTGTGTGTGTGTGTGTGTGTGTGTGTGTGTGTGTGTGTGTGTGTGTGTGTGTGTGTGTGTGTGTGTGGTGTGTAGGTGTGTGTGTGTGTGTCCGAAAGAGTCTGACAGGAAATGCCTTTCTTCCAGGACGCCGTGTTTTCACCAAGTATCCGTTTTCCATCAATGGGGGGGCAGAGGCACCCTCATCGGCGCCTCTGCTACAAAGCCGGCTGATGTGCGGCGGGGATATGCGGCCTGGTCAACCGCACGCACCTGCAGTTTGTTTCGATACGCGGCTTGATGCCACTGCAGCAAGGAAGACAAAAAGGACCGCTACTCCTTTCGAGGAGTGTGGAATTATATGGCTGTGCCCCGTTCACGGAGGAGTCGTGAGCCCAGACGATGTCTGGCCAAACAGCAACTTTTTTTGATTCGCCACTCTACGATTGCACGCGTGAAGTCTCACCTTTATCTGACTGTCACTGTCAAAACCTCGTCCAGAAAAAATGACCTGATTCCGACCTGATCATCCCTGTGACCTAATTTCCTTTGACCTGATTGGTTTGAGCCAGTTTTTTTATGCTCTTGACTAGAGCCCGACGGCTCGAATGTCCGAAGAGCACCAAGAGAGAGAGAGAGGCCCTCACCTCCGCTTGGGCATCCGTTGGCCCAATGGCTGAGACGGTGTGCTCTCGACGTCGGAGATGTCAACACATCGGACAATGTGGCCGCCATTTCTTGTAGGCTTGGAGCTTGTGCCGAAACACTACAAACAAGGCGAACTATCTCGGACCTGATGCCCCCGCCAGGCGACCTAGAAAAGTAAGCCAAGGACGTCGAAGCAGCGGCCGCCCAATGCTCAAAGCGTCAGGCGAGTGGTGAGAGTTGAAAACGGGAGTTTGGGCTGTTAGGCCCCCCGTTTATGCAACTGACACTTTCGCACCAATTTGTGCCAACGTGCGCTAGCGGCTGCAAAAGCGCTAGCTGGGGCTCCTTTCAGTGCTTTCCACGGCCCCCACAGGTTCCAATTCAGCTTGAGCCTTGAGTCGCCCATAGAGATAGTGACAATGCTAACTGAGCGACAGCTTCAAGGGGAGAAGTGCGAGCCGGCTTGTTTAACAATAGTGCCAAATCAGTCCGAGTCATGGCACATGACACAGCGGACCTGTCCGAGTGGACAGACCAGTGGCAGGCAAAGGGCTGACCGTACAAACTTTTCACACGCTTGCCTTGCCATCTTTGGAAGAAGGCCCGCTGCGACATTTCGCTGCCCAGTAAGTCTTGCGTTCACACGTTTGCGCAGTCTACAAGAGTTGCCTGAGTTTGTGGAATTGCCAGGGGTGGCCGCATTTTGCGGTCTACAGACCACTTTTCGTGCTTTTCGCCGCTTGGCAGTACAAGAGCTCTGGCAATGAGACGCTACCAATTTATTTGCCAACCTGCACAGTTTTTGCCCCAGCTTCCCGCAGACTTCCGCCGCAGCGCATTCTAGTAGAGCGCCATCACGATATGCAAGAAGATGCCGTTTTCACTATCTGCAACAACGCCCGCTTGCGGGTGATGTGTGGCAGGGCCCGCAAACACGCTCAGAAGCAGCGTGAAATCAAGCTTGTTGATACCATGCCACTATGCAGACTGTCTCTCCAAGCTTGTTTGCCATTTGGAACAGGAGTGGGCAGCCAACGTTGAACCTTGCACGTCTGGTCCATGCCGCCGCCTTTTTCGTTACACGGTGCGTTGATAACAGGCTTGTCTTGACAGACCGGCTGTTACTCAGGACTGCTTGGTTGCAGAATTTTTGCAGCCCCGACTTCTTTTCCGGTGCAGTTGGAAACCGTTCCCGGGAGGCGAATTTTGGGGTGCGAGGTTTGCTCAGAGTCCATGAGGGTCCGATACCAGCTTCGTCGTGCCACGTATGGCTACTGCAGCCAAGGACTCTTTTCCGTTTTCGCAGGCCGAACAAGGCACTCAGGAGCTGGTTACTATTTACTACCAGCTCGGACGTCCATGGCAGAAGCTCATGGCAATCTCTGCTAACAAAGCCGGCTGATGCGCGGCATAGCAGCCTGATCAACCGTACGTACCTGCATTTTGCTTGATGCCACTGCAGCAAGGTACTACTCCTTTCGAGGAGCTCTCCCAGTGTGTGAGTGTGTGGGTGTGTGTCGGTGTGTGTATGTGTGTGTGAGAGTGAGTGTCACAGCCCTTGACTTGGATCTTTAGACTCTAACTTTTTGGGACATCAAGGGGCTTTCCATTAAACCCACAAAAAGTCAACTTTTTGCAGAGGGTTCCAGAGCTTTTGAAATAGCCGGATGTGGTAACAAGTTTTTTGGCAACTTGTTACGAAATGGGCACCCTCAAAAGCAAACACATGCAGTTGCTTGTACATCTGCACATATATGTATATATATAAATATAAAAACATACACACATAAAGTATATTCAATTTACTTGGAAGCGCCAAGTTCAGATGTGCGGATTGAGTCCAGGATCGTAAGGTTAAGCCTAGGTCTCCAAGTTTAAGGGCGCCCTTGGGGCCCAATGCCAGTTTTTTGGTCCCAGGGGAAAAACATGGTCATATGTCCCCAGTTGTTCCAACAACACGGTCGAACATGTTGAAGAACACCGATTTCGCGCGGGTCGTATGCGCAAATGGTCGAATCACAAACGGTCATACGAGTCTACCAGCCAACACGGCCAAATATAGGACCGAGAAACAAGAAACTGGCCAGATGGTGGCCAGGCTCTAGCTCAAGCAGACCCCCGTTTTGGTCCGATGGACAACCGCCTTCACAAGGGCCCCCTTCCCCAAATAAATGTGAATTTTGTCCTTGTCCGTGTTCGGCCATAAGGCTTCACCCTGCACGGTGGCTCTGGCGGTAGGGCGCCTACCGCTTACGTGGCCGAAACAGCTCCGGCGCTTGAGGCCCCGAAGAGGAACACGGACCGTGGCTCCTTTTGGCGCGACTGAGATCGGATCCCAAAAAGGCGAGCGCGAGGCAGCCAGCATTTTTTAGGAGAGCCCCAAAGAAACTGAAAACCGGGGGCGCCCCCTATTGCTGGAAACACACCTGCCGTAGCCATGTTGGCTCAAACCTCGAGCTCCCATAGCGCTCCGTTTGACACTTTTGCGCAATGGCGCCTTGGCCGCCTTGGTCCTTGCTCTCGATAGAATTGCTGCTTGTGCTCAGCCTGCAAGGCTGCAAGGAATACAGCGACCGCCAAGCTGCCATGGATGAAGTGTGCTTCAACGTGACCTGCGCTAGCGATTGTATACTGTGCATCAACAGCAGGTGGGAGCACCTTACTAGACAACAACGGGCGAAAAACTTTGACACGATGGAACAATGCGGGTACCCCAAACAAACCTGCGAAGGGGAGCGCTAGGGCCGCAGCCGCAGCCGCGGTGGAGAAAAATCCTGCTGCCGGCTGCCTTGGATGTCCACTAATCGGGTCCATCCTGAAGGATACGGTATTCAATGCCTTCAAACGCACGGGGCAGCTGTCGAACTCTTGCGCGTTAGACAAGCCAATTTTTGGCTGGCCAAGCCAACCGTCACACGGGCTCTCGGTCCGGCGTGCGCCCTTGCCGTCTCACTCGGTTTTCGTAGGCCTTTGACGAATTGATCGAACCAACAGCGCTTGTATCTGAACATGTTGAGTGTGCGGGCATAGAAGCACCCCCATGTTTGGCAAGACTCGTTTGATCATTTCCGGGTTTTAGTTGCTACTCGTCGCGGCCCCCCAGTCTCGAGTCTTCGGCACATAGTCGTGGCCGAAGCAAGTCCAAGGCCCGCAAGATCCGTTGCTCAAGTGCTCCGCTTTAGTTCGAACAGCCCAGAAAACTGGAAACATGTAGCCTTGTCCGGCGTCCGGAATTCCCTTGCCATCGGACGTCCCTTTGCTGACATGCCAGCTTGGCAGTTGCCAGCTTGATACAAAAAGTCCCTTCGGCCTACATGAGCGCCTAAAAACCCTTGGGTCTCTGTATTGATCTGGGTGTGTCATCCTTTAGTCAGGGTGCCCCTGTTGCATGCCCAAAGTCCTTCTCTGAGTCGTCCCAATGGACAGCCATCCCAAGTGGCATCGGGTTCGGATCGGGATCACATCGGGCGGTCATTTTGTGTGTCTTTTGTCGGGAGACCCTTTTTAAGTTGGCTGGTTTTAAAGAGGAAGCAATGGAAAACCGCCAATCCTCAAGGGTCTCCCAGTTTGAGACACAATTATGTGTTTAAGCAAGACCTTGGCCACCTAAGGGAGTCAAACAGTCGATCGTTTCAACAATTGGTTTCAAGGGGCATTGCTGCCCGTCCCGGATCCGAGCTTAGTCTTTGGGTGTTCTTCTCGCTTTGAGGGGAGAAGGAGTTTCGTGTGGAAATTTGGATTAGGACCGCAAACATGCGGGTGCTCTTTTGAGGGTACAAAGGTACACCAGAAGGAAGCCGTTTCTTTGTTGCCGGGGGGGGGGGTTCCAAAAAAAACACCCCCATGCATTTTGGTGTTCCAGTTGGTTCCTCCTTACACCAACCCAGCGTTGACCCTGTTCTCCCTGAGGCCTCCCCGCCGCCGATTGGCTCAGACACAAACGCAAACTGCCCGAACTCGCGGAGCGAAGAGGCTCTGGTCCAGGGGGGGGATGGTCTCAAAATCAGGAGATGTATCCTGGAAACGGTTGGTTTCCTTGATTTTCTTTGTTTCCTTCGGTTGGGGGAGCAGGGCTTCTTTGGACAAAGGTTAAGAACATTCCCCCCTCTCGCGACTCCCCTCTCACGACTCCCCTCTCACGACTCCCCTCTCGCCCTTTCCTGTGTCAAAAAGTGACCTTCAGTGTGGCCGAAAAAGAGCCCACACCCTCTGCAGAAGTCCCTAGTGATGAGCTCAAGCATTGTTTTTTGCGTTTTGGCAGTTCGAAAGGACACACCAGACCTGATCGTGTTTGATTCCGTCTATGTTTGTTGCGCGGCTGAGATCCATGAAGGCAACTTGAACAGCTTAGCGGAAGCAAAGGGACAGGCCCAGCTCGCCGATCGTTTGACTCCTGTGAACGCGAAAGGAACACCCTCCGCACAAGTGAGTTGTTTGTGGGCCTCGTCTGATAATTGTGAGACAGGTTCTCAGAGAATGTGGACGTCAAGCCAATCAGGCTTCCCGTTTTCAACTCTGAAATTCCCTGACTGAATATTCTCGGTGGAGGAGGGGCATGATCCCCACATTCGCCAATGCTGGTACTTGATACCGCCTTCCAAACAACAAACCTTTACTCAAATACTGATTTAGAGAGGCAGAAGGGAAGACCATGGCCTTTAATGGCCCTTACTGGGCTCTAATATTTACTCACAGTCAGTTTTGCGCTGCGATAGCACTATGGCTCTGCAGGATTTGTTGGCGGTCCTTGAGAAGGTTCGCGCCTGTTCTTTGAGCCTTATGTTTTCAAAGGACCCTCCAGCAAGCTTTGCGTTTACTTTTTTGCCCATCCAAAGTATGTCTGACACAAGCGCGCCTCCGGCCAGGGAGGGGCCCTCCGTGAGCCTTCAGGATGTTGGGCTCCCTTGCCGTGCGGAGCTCAGACGGATGCGATGGGCGATCTAGACCCCCGACCAAAATGCAGACCGATCCAGTCCGGATCGCTGAATCCATTGCTTTTTGAGCCTTCGGACCGGTCAGCTGCAGCTTTTGACGGAATCCAGTGCCCGCTGCGAGGGTTACGCCTTGGCCGTGAGCTTGGACGACAGGAGAAGTGTTGGTTTCTATTTTCGGCATGTAACTAGAAATTCAACCAAGGGTGCTTTCACCAAGGGTGCTTTCGCTAAGGGTGCGATTTCGCCAAGAGTTCGCAGGTTGGTCGTCTCAAAATGGGGCCCTGCAAAGATGGGCAACGGCGGCTCGGTTTTCGTTTTCATGCAACCCTTCCAAGACACACCCCGTGCCAGAGACAGCTTCGCGGTGGAAGCCGTCGGTCTTGGCGCGGAAATGTTGGGTCCCTATACCCGAAGCGCACACTCGGGCATCGCATACTTGTTGCACATCCACATGTTTTAATGGTTCCTGGCCCCTCAAACTACCCTTAACAAAGGGACTCCACCCTGTTATTTTGGGGCAACAAACGATATTAAAGGGTATTTGAGGGTCCAGGTTGTATTTTTCCTTCCAAACGGTTTGTCGGGCAACTTTCCCATCAATGCCCAGTCCAGTGAAAATACTCCGTGGACTGCAGAATCCTTGGGGAGCTTCAGTGGAAGCCAGGGACAGTGCTGAAAACTACCAGCCGAGGTTATGCGTTCCAGCGATGTTACCGCACGGGAGTTTCCTCTGCTTTGGCAGACGTTTGAGTTTTCCTCATTCGCTTCAAGGGCTGCGCCAAAGCCACAGAGTTTTGTGGGTGAGAGGGGTTCGCTTTCAAGTGAATATAGTCCTTTCGCCACAAGTACTTCCGCCTTCCCAAGTCGGCCAGGGTTCCAGGGTTTCGGAGGGATACGACGAGCCCCAGAACCCCCAGAACCCCCATACTCGGCAGTTCCCACACTCGGCTTTCAGGCAGGCTTTGTTGGGACTGCGGCTGGGTTTGGTGGGCGTCCCAGTGCTTCGGACGGGAAGGTCGCCCAAGGGATTCCTTTCAAATAGATTTTCAGGTTCCATGTGGATTTGGAGCGCTGGGTGCCATTTCAACTTCGGGAAGCCACAGGCGATGGTTTCAATGACTGTGTGAACATATGGTTGGCCCACCTGGGTTTGGGCATGTCAGATGAGCTAGCTCTCCCGCACCTTTCCCTTCAGTGGGGGTGGCTTATCTATTTGAACCATACTGCAGACATTGCGTAGCTGAAATGTCAACAATCGGAAGTTCCATGCAGCAAGCCAGTGGATCCGGCCACTATAGTAGGTAGCCATGATAATTCCCTCTAGATGTTTACATACATGGTGGCTTCCCTGGTTTCCTACTATAGGGGGCAGTCAGGATGCCTGGATGGAGTGTTGTTGGTCCCAGTGAGTCTATACCTGCAGGCAACCAAGTAAACCACCTGAGACCAGCATGGAGAGGCCCATTAACCCACTGCCCTTGTTTTTGCACAGTTTTTCAGAGAAGCCCCGTGTCTTGGGCCGGAAAAGTATTTCCCAGCTGGCCAACCTTATCAAATAGGGTCGACCCACTCCACATCTGGGGGTGTGCTGCTTGGGGGTACCCTTGTTTGAGTTGGTTGAACGCGTAACCAAAAAAAATATTTATTTATTTTTTTTACACATACTCATTTCACCAGTTTTGGGAACTGACTTGAAGTGTTTCCTTCCGCTATTTGGACCGGGTTGTTAAGCATAAATCCACAAAGTCCTTATGCCACATGGTAGTGGTTGCCCTTGTTATAGCGGTGTCCCACCACAGATCACCGAACAGAACTAGAGTTTCTCCCCCATGTTTGAACATCTGGCTTCCAAACCAGCTCGGTCCCGGTATTTCCATTCTCCAGCAGGCAACCAATGGAATCACCCCCAAATCGACAGGAACAAGTCTCCTATTGGTCCTTTTACGGCGAAAATACAAGTCCCTAAGACGAATCCAACGTCATCTTCAAAAGTTGAACAAACAACCCAAAGTGCCAAAGGGGGAAACGTGGCGCAGTGGCCCTGACAATTCAAAAGTGGTTTTCGCATTGAGTAGGACATGATTCTTCCGGATGAATCCGAAGCTTACCTTTGCCTGAGCTCAGCCAGGGCCAAAACTCGCCGCACCATTCGAGGTTAAACGTTGGTCTCCTTGTTTGACGGCGTCCCTTAAAGCCGTGCAGCCCGCTATTTGAGACACCATTTTGCTAGGCGGCTCAACGCCTCGTTGAAGGTTCGACCAAGGGAACACGTCGGGATATGACTTGGGGCGGGCTCAGAGGTCATGAGCTTTCGCCCCGAAGCCATCGGATGTGGGCAGTGAACCACAACAGCTGGTTTGGGCCAGTCTTTGGTGTGCCCCAATTGAAAAAGTTTGGAAC